TGGAAGTTTGTTTCGCCTTACTTTTGTTTGTTTGCTTTCAATCTGAACGGTTGTTTTATGGCTTGTGTCTACACACCAACCTTATAATTTCATTTGATGACTATTTACTAATTGCCTCTGTGCAGGGTACTGTGCTAAGAGACACAGTAAAGAACCATTAGGGATGCTGTCCCATAGTGTAAAACTAAAAGGAACTTACAGCCAGAAGTAGCTACACAGTTAACAGTGATAAGAGGAGTTAGTGCTGTGTGTGTTGGGAAGAAGAAAGAAGAATTTCTGAATAGATGTTAAGAGAGAAAATAAGGACAGGCTTTAGAGGAGGTCACCCCTGACTAAGAAATGGCTTTGAGCATTGTAATTATGGGGCCACTTAAGGTTTCTGAGTTAGAAAGTGAAATATCCGTTGCTATGACAGCATTGGACAGGCTGGATTGGAGGAGGCAATGCTTGCCGACAGAAAGATCTGTTGGGAGACTACTATAAACTCAGGAGGAGCTGTGCTTGGCAGACATCACAAGTGTGTGCTTGTAGTACACACAAGACAGAGAAGTAGAGACATATCTTGGTCCCTAGCTGTATGGGATATATATGTATATATGAGATATATATATACATATATATATATATATAGAGAGAGAGAGAGAGAGAAACAGAATAAGAGAGAGAGAGAGAGCACTGAGAGGAGGTGCTTAGCAGTCAGGGATCACAAGTGAAGAAGCAGTTTGCAGGGGAAGGTAAAGTATTACCTGATTGTTGAACTTCATCCAGAGCACATCGAGCTGTCAGGAAGTCAGAAATGAAGCTGCGCAGCTCAGAAGAACAGGAATAGGGCCTCCCCGGTGGCGCAGCGGTTGAGCGCTGGGTTGCGAAGCTGCCCGCAGCCTCTGCAGCGCCGGTTCGATCCCCGGCTGCTCCCGGGCCACCGGAGGAGGGTCCCATGTGGCACGCAGACCTCTCCTGCCGCCCGCTGACCTCTCCTGCCACCCGCTGCTCCCCTCAGCAGTGTACTTCGGTCCTTCTGCCTGCTCTGCTCCCTGCTCTGGCTCTGGTGAATTCTCTCACCCTCCCGCACTTCTGACTGTACCCAGTGCTTGTATAAATAAATAAATAAAAATAAATCTTTAAAAAAAGAAAAAAAAAAACAGGAATAATTGAAATCATGACAAGGACTCCCTTTGGTTCATTTTATTATAAAAAGAACCCAGAACTCTGCAATTTAGGTACCTGCCCATGGAGTTAGTAATACCAGGATTTTTCTTGGAGAGAGAGATGTATCACACCATGTAAATCCCACCAGTGAGTAGTTTGAACCTTATTATGGCTTGATTTTTAAAGTCAGAGACACTATTGTAATGTTGCCTCTATAAAGATTTCAGGACAGAGTGTCAATTTTTATTTTTAATGGCACATGAAATTTAAGATGATGGCCATGTTTTATCATTTGTATTATATTTCCAATTATTTCTGCCTTATACCTTCTTAAGCTTCAATTTCATCTTAAAGACTCTAGTTGCTATGTTTGTAAAAAGAAGTACATTATAGAAAACTTGGAAAACAAAAACATTTAAAAAAAGAAAAATAGCACTCATAATCAAACAGCAAGAACTAGGAACTGTTCTTTGGTCTTTATGTAATATACTTGTATATGCACATACACATATATAAAGACTTCATGAAAATAATTGTATAAATGATGCACGAACATCTGTATTTTCTTAGTATTTTGTATCCATTGTACATTTCACTTTGTATTTGATTTTTTTCAATTGGCATTTTCTCTGATTCTAATTTGAGCATTTCACATGTCACAAAACTGTTTTAAAGAGCTTCATGATTTGGTACTGATTTATATTTCATTGCATGAGGCTGTCATAACATTGAAGAATTCTCTTGTCATTGGACAGTTCAGCAAGGTGTGTGCTTACAAAGGATCAGGTGTGATAATCTATTTTCTACTTATACCATAGAAGCCCAGAATAACCACGTCCTCATCCGCACTCTCTCCTCAGGCCCCCGAGGATGGGGATTTTAGATGGGGCAGGTGATTGCACAGTAAAAGTATATGAGAGATGAGATTAGCTAAGGCAACAGAGGCTAAACAGTCTTACCCCAAACCAACTGTCTTATATCTTCATTTGTGATCAATTTTTTTAAAAAATCATTTTTGCCTCCTTACATTTTCAGATGCCTGTCCAAATGTATGCACGACTCTGCACATGCACCTACCCATGAAACCTAAATATGGAAAGAACTTTTTAAAGTCCCCAAATGTTATGCTTTTTCCTCTTTCCTCAGCATATACTCTCTGCCTTGGAACAAAAGCTGTCTTAATGGGAAGCGATAGGAAGTTAAGTTGAGGCAGGAGCGTGTGCCTTTCTGTGACAGTGTGGTGAAAGACCAGGGCCATGGCATGAACCCCAGGAGAGAGCAGAGGCCAGGCACGCGAATATGCATTAACAGGACTGGACAGAGCACCATTGTTTTGATCTTTCTGTTTTCACAGGTGCCATAGAGTCATTTTATGAGTCTTCACCATGACCCATGCCATAGAAAGACAAATATAGCTATAGCTTTGCTGAATCCAGGTTTAAAGCCCCTTGTTCAAAAAAAATAATAATTTCTAAATCAGGCCAAAGCAAAGCCCAACATCTTGAATTCTATACACTCCCCCTTTTAACCTTGTTCTTCTCTTCTAGTCTGTCTCCTTTAACATCATTGCCTCCATTTTAAATATCATCAGCTGATAAATCAACTGGCAGAGATCTGCAACAGTTCATTCTAATATTAAAAAAGACAAATCACAGCTATAAATTTTTTCAGGAGAGAAGGCAATGATATGCATTTTTGCATTTAGAAGTGATATAGCCATGTGTAAAGATAGTAAGGGTAGGAAAGATATTGTGTATCATATTGTATATTCTACTTTCTATTCAATTTTTTCAATTGACATTTTTCATCATTCCAATTTGAGCATTTTCCATGTCACAAATGTGGCAAAGTCGATTTTATTTATTCCTTTAGTAACTACTGTTAGTGTATACCACAATATATGTAGAAATTATCAGGAGAATCTTGTAATGTTGGCACTCTTTAAATATATTTCTTTTAGAAAGAAACTGTCCTTAATAGACAGGATGTACTGGAAAGAAATCAAATCATTCTAATAAGAGGCAGGATTAATCTTTCACCTCCAATTTCTTGTCTGTCAGAAGAAGATGGACAAATAGCAAATTTCTCAAACTCGATAAAAACAGGGAGAAAATTTGAAAGTTAATATTTATTGTCTGTTTCACTGTTTTACTGGAGCTGTAGGCTCCAAAGGCAGCATGCATTTTGGTGAGCATTGTTACTTGAGGATGATACACACCCATACACAATGAAAATTTGGTCATACAAATGAAGACAACAAAAACTTGGTCAAACAAATAAACACAGAAAATGTAGCCATGTAAGATAAATTAGCACTGCAGTGGTTTTCCACTGGGACTAGGAGTCTTTTTTTTTTTCATCCCTTTGTTTCCATTTTCTTTCCAACAGATGTAATTCCTTGCAGACATTCCCTTGCCTTTCAGTAGGTTCTTCAGGAACTACCCTCCTTATCATTTATTCTTTCCTCATTTCTCATGATCTCTAGTCCGAGCTGGTTTGTTGTTGTTTTTTTTTTTTTATCATTCTGGCCCATAGTATGCCCAGCTTACTCTTTCTACTCGAAAGCATATGTGTGCTAGCCATGTAAATAGAACACATCATATCATCCCATGTCAGAGGATGGGATAAAATGTAAAGTATTGATTTGCTTAAATATAAATATCTACATTTATATTGAATATGAATATATAGAGACCCTTCCAGTCATCCCAAGGATACACATAGAATAGCTGAATTCATTCACTATTCAAAAGGGTTCCAAAATAAGTATTCTCTGCTCATGCCTAGCATAGTCTGCCCCAGCTGCCATCTATTGAGTTCGCTCTCTATCCCCTTTCTAGATGAAGGCTCTGTTGCACTAGCCCTTTTATTCAAGACCCAGGAGTTATAAATCTTCCACAAGCTGGGGGTCTCAATGAGAAGAAAGTTTTACCAGTTGGAGGCTATAATTGAAATTAGTGAGGCTAGTTAGTGCAATTTACTGGAGTCCTTAAAGTCTCTGGGGACTTCCACACTGCCTACCATGTCATTCCTTGTGGATCCATTAGCCACACAGTCTATAATGTCATTTCATATGGCTCCTTTAGTCTCGTTATAATTCTCACAAGTTTCCTAGGGCACCAGATATAGTAACAGCCCTGACAGTCACCACCACCATATTAGTAGTTAACACTGTATTACATTTTAGAGACTACACAAAAAAATCTTTTATATTTATTATATCACTTCAACTGCCCAGAACCTGCTTTTGTTGACAGTTGGCTATGATGTTCAGTAGTTCACCTTCCTTTTATAAAATAACCAGATGGTTGCTTTCCAGATATTACTAAAACCCTTAGGTTGCCAAGAGAAGAAACCTATTTGCTAGTGCACATTACATAGTATTGACAATCTTCAGGTACATACTCCTGTGCTTAGCGAGCTCCCTCTTTCATCAGAAATAAGATAGTGATCATAATTGCTTGGTTAGCATCTGGAAGTAACGTTAATAATGATGATAATAATGACCTCATAGGATGTATAATTTGTGGGATTAAAGAACATTTACAAGCTTATTGTGTCATAGTTAATGATGAGGTGTCAAGTTTTCTTGCCACCACCCTTTCCAGTGATATTTCCTGCTTGGATCAGAGAACTAATTCTAGTAAACGGTGCCCTGTCAAAGAACTTACTCCATCTTAAAGCATAAAGTTATAGTATAAAAATATTGAACTGTTTTAGCATTGGTTTTCAGAGACAATTTATTAATGTTATTGTGCATTTGTCTAAAAAATTGTATAATGTAATCATTTAGTGTTTATTTTATTGTGTGTACCTTCTACTCAGAGGGTTGGCATTATTGTTCCTAACAGTGACGGATACAAGCAGATCATGCCTTATGACCTCTACCATCCCCTTCCTCGGTACGTAAATCAATCATCCTGATGCTAGAATTAGTAAATCAGTCTTCTGCTTCTTTTATATACATAGAGATGTAGATTTTGTTTTTCTATAAAAATAAAATGGCAGATAATATATTTTGCAATCCATCCTGGGCTCTGCTTTTGAATAATAATTGACCCCCTCAGACTATAAGCTTGTCATTCAAAAACCATTTTAAGATAGGATAATATTACATTAGAGTGGACACAGTAATTCTCTCAGATTAGATACAGTGTATAGGTTTATGTTATGTCTTTCTTTCACTCCCTTTGTCCTAGTCTATGTTTCCTCTGCAATAGAACCCTAGTCATTAAAGTGCTATTGCTAACTGTTAAATAAACACTGCCTTAAGTATTATCACAATACCACAAATGTGGAATTCCAGATGTGATATACTCTGCATAGGGACTCTAAATATTCTCCTTTTACTCTGAAGAAATTAAGTAGAAAAAGGCAGATTTTTTATATCCTTATTGTTTAGAAAATTTGGAGGGGCTTTAAAAAATAACAACATACAATTCCATTCATTGTGTTGCTTTTTAAAAGTGCAGTATTTCTCCAAACTAGAAAAAATAAAGTGATTCAGGCACTTAAAAAAAAAAAAACCTGTTCTCTTTATTAATATATTCATAAGAAAACTGGAGAAGCTGAAAAATACACTAGCTACTGGGGTATCACCTGCCACCTTGGAAACAGCTCCCTAGAGAGCAGAATTAGCATTGGGTTTGAAGAAACCACTCATTGAGATCTTTGCTCTATTCTCTCTACACGTTTGTCCTTCAGGGTGTCAGCTACTATTTAGAACTCTGATTTCAAATCAGATTGCAAAAGTTGGAAATAATCCAAGGTAATTTTCTCAATATCAAACTAAACAAACCCCAGGAAAAAAAATTTATTCTGAACTGCAAAATAAAGCAAAGTTTAATAGAAAATCTCCAACTACTTAATGAATTGGGATACAAACTGGGATCCTGAGGTCACCTAGTCCAGCTCCCCCGGTGATGCTTCATTCTCTCCTTCCCCCAACACCCAACATTCATACCCATACACCACACATGTGCATATCTGTATACCTAAGGAATATGTATTTACATGTACATACACGTATATATTAATATGCTGCAGGTATTCTGACCACTACTTAAATATATCTAGCTATAGGCAAGGAAGTCACCTTGCAACACTGTAATGGTAGCATTTTAATGTATACTACATGTGGTTGTTTGGGTTTCTTTTATTACATTCTTCTATGAAAGGATTGCTTCATTGGTCAGCTCTCCTATTTCCCTATGGCTATATTGATAAATCTGATGAATTATTACAGAATGTTGTTGATGTATCATTGTGTTGGTTTGATCTAGAACCAAACCTAAGGTGAATTCTTTTTGGGAAAAAAATGAAAATATAAAAATATTAATTGAACCAAAATTGCATTTGACTTCCCTTTTGGTATCTGTGCAATAAGAATCTGAGGGACACATGTTTCTGTGTGAGACCATAGACTTCAAGATAAAGGCAAAGTTGGGTGTCTCGGGCAAGCAACCTCAGGTTTATGTTTTTCCCCTTGTATTGGCACACTCCTATGTTTTTTTCATGTCTATGATCTCTCTTGTTTTTAATTCTCTGGTATGACTAATGCCTATCTTAGGTTAGGCATTTTTGATTTCTTATGTATTTGGATTTTCTGCAAATGCCTTACATCCAGTGTTCTCAATGGTGGGTTGAAATGAACCCCCAAATGTTTGTTTGTACCCAGTCCTGTGGATCCAGTGGCCTCTCTGTGCATCCCAATAGGAAGAGACAAATAAATAGACTGCATTTCTTACCCCTTGTACTGCTGTAACTGAACTAGTTTGGAAGTTAGATATTCTGCTTTATTAATAAAATCTTAGTAAGTGGAAGCTATTTCTACAAATATGTTTTCATTTCATAAAAACAACTAATGCTCAAAATGGTTCTCAGATGGCAGCTACCCACTAATCAAGTCAGAAGGCTTTACTTATTTAAATGGGTTTAATACCAGAAGTGTAGCTACAAAACACAAGCAGTTTTTTATTGTTCTTTCTTGATTTCCTCCTTTGTAACACATACCTGAATATAATAGTGTATTCTAATGAATTATTTTTTTAATTTTTAGTTAATATATGCAACTTCTCCATATCATTCTTAATTTTGAGAATTTCTGCATCGAGGCACACTCTGTATAAAAAATTAAAAGCCAAAGAAGTTAAACTGTCATTCTTCTACGCTTTAAAATATGCACTTTATTTCCTCTAAGCACTTACCTGGCCCATGGTTTAAGAAAGCCAAACTTATATCCTTTCTCAGCTTTTGTTATACTTCCTTTAATATGCCCATACATGTTTTTCTTTGAGATTCCACATAACCCTATTATTATACAGGAATTTACATAATTTTTCACATATAAAGCTATAGTTGTATACTGGAGCCATACTATAAATTCTTAGAATAATATTAGCATCATTTGTCTTTCTGTGATAACTGACACTGAAAAAGATACTTATTAGGGTTTATGATACTACATTATGGGTCAGGTCCAAGTGTTGAAACAGAAATTAATCACTGTCTCTTTAGAAGGGTCAAATTTAAGGAGTTTAAAGTACCAAATAGAAAATGTCCTTTTCCTATGGCATCTTAATGCTCTAAAAGATTAAATGTACATTCAAAAATATATTCCCAGTTCACTGTCAGATCAAATCCAATGTGAATAAGTACTTAATATTCAGCTCAAGGTTCAGGCTAAATCAGATCTGCTGTCCAGCTCCAGAGGAATGCTCTCCAGAGATTACATGGAGACAAATGAATTGGTCTTACCCTTTTGGAAGAGAAACTTTCCGCAAAGCTACTTCATTCTCTTGAAAGGTATCTGAAAGACTCCTAAGCGCTAAACAGAGGGCCTCAGTTTCCCCATAATAACATTTTCTTAGGTGTCTCCTGGGGAAATATGCTTAGGAAAATATTGTATTTGGCAGCATGTTTAGGCTGTTGGCAGTGAAGGTAATAGTTGTTGCCTATACTTGAACAGTGCAGAGAAAATGTGGAGGAAAATTCTCTAACTGGGAAACACACATTATTCCAGCTCACACAGTAGCGAAATCAGACTGACGATATCGAGGAAATCTTACTCTAGAGTAGAGTAAGATGGTATGATTGTGCAACATTTTTTAATATAACTATACAGTGAATAAACTTGGTGACATTTTGTTTTTCTCTAATTAAAATTATATCTAACATAATTTTAAGAGAAATCTTAGAGTTCCTTAGCAGTCCTCATCAACAAGTACAATACCCATAAACAAGACAAGCTTAGTCCCGATGTTTCTGTCTTTTTAAATTCCTCATTCTTTAAATCCACAGGAGGAGAGAAGAGAATCAGGCAAAGATAACCTCGCTATACCTGATCTGAAATGCTTCAGAGCTCTGTAATGCTCTGAGAAATAAATGGAATTCTAGTAAATTTTACTGACAATCTTATTTTCTCTCACTTAATTGTATCTCTAGATTCTGATGCCATCAGCCTCCCAACCAAAAATAAACCTCTTCCAGGAGTTTTTTTTTTTTTTTTCCACTTGGGGAAAGCTAACAGCCAAGATCTCTCAACAGATAGGGAACATATAGATCCTGCTTATGTTAACATATTTGCCCCTCAGCTTAATGGTAACATCTTTTGAACATCAGAATGTGCTGAATCCATGTAGAAGCAAAGGAGAAAAGATGTTCGATTTACCTTGATTTTGATAAGCTTCTTATTTAAAAGTATCCAAAAGCTAAGTAATAAAGCACTGCATTGAAAATGTACATACCAGCCCAGGTGCAATCTGTTAGAGTTAACTCATGAGCCAATTTCAGCCTCAGTATGGGTACTTGATGAGATTTAGTACAAATATATATATATATATGTGTGTGTGTGCGTGTATATATGTATATATACACACATATAGGCATATATAGTATCATGTGTGCAGAATATTTGAAATGTATTATAGGATATAAAATAACATAAATGTACATACAGAGACACAGAAAATATATTAAGACTCTAAGTAGAAGGACTGACAATCCTATTTTGAACAGGTTACAGGCAGCACAAGCATCCTTGTTCACAGCTCTCCAAACAGTCCCTTCTCACACGTGTGTAGGTTCGAGGCTTACAGAGCACTTTTCCCAACATTGAATCCTTCTGTCTTGCTCATCGGATTCCAGACAATAGGTAGCTTTTGTTCTCTGGACCATAGTCTCTCAGAACCCAAGTGCCCCCTAGGCCCTGGGAACGGGGTGGCGGCAAGGTCACTGAGGAGGTTTGGCAATGTGCATGTCTGCCCTGATGACTCCCCTTGCTTCTGTAGGTGGGAGGCCACTCCATGGACCGCGTGCTCCTCCTCGTGTGGGGGGGGCATCCAGAGCCGGGCAGTTTCCTGTGTGGAGGAGGACATCCAGGGGCATGTCACCTCAGTGGAAGAGTGGAAATGCATGTACACCCCTAAGATGCCCATCGTGCAGCCCTGCAACATTTTTGACTGCCCTAAATGGCTGGCACAGGAGTGGTCTCCGGTAACTGTGCCTTCTTTCTTTGTTCATTAGGAGAGTAAGTCCACTCTTCCCTCTCGTCACTATGACCCCACTGGCTACCAGTGCAGCTACCCGCTTTCTCGAAGTGTCTAGAAGCCCACCAGTTTAGTTCCTGGAGTTGGCATGCCCCAAATCCAGAATTAAATGAGTAAAAAACATGTAGAGTACATATAAATGTGTATTTTTCAAGTTAGGCCAGAAAGCCTCTGTCACTCCTTATCATATCCTCCCAGGCAGCAAGGGGAGGCAAAGGCCCATCAAGTAGAATCGGGGTCAGATGATTGAGACCGAGTCTGTGAAAGCTGCTTTGATGATAGATCTCAGTAGCGCAAAAGTTTGGTTTCATTTTTATTTCTTATACTCTGTCTATATCCAAAAAGGGCCCAAATGGATTTGAATTAAATTATATCTTATAGCTCAATGAAAAAAGGATGAAATGAAAAGGCCAAAATAAGAAAGATGGAGCCAAAGTAAGATAAGTAAAACAAAAAACTTCTAACGGTTAAGGAAGCTATTTTAGCAGCTTAAAATGTTTTGAATTTCCTAGATGCTAATGCAAAAAGATTCGAATGGCAAAGGTGATAGAAAGATGAGATAAACCATTTTGCCCTTAGCTCCAGAGATGGTTAAAAGCTCTTTACTTACCCATGTGGTTTCTGGCATCAGGTCAAAGCTGATGTTTCCCTCTATCTAGAGTTGCTTCCAAGCATATGTCACTGAATCACTGAAGATGCTGTCTACATCTCGCCATTGAATCAGTTTCTTTAAACGTCTTTTATGTCAATGCAATCAATTGGATCAGTCACACAGTAATACAACAGAGCTAAGATGAAAGTTGAAAAAAATTAGTGTAGGAGCCAAGCACTTCCCGTAGTTTGGACATAACAGCCACTAGCAAAGTGACTACATAAAATTAAAATGCAGTGTTGGTGATCAAAATTGAGCATACCCTACAGTTTCTTCTTTTTGCTGCTTGGTTTGAGACTTTGCACACAGTGGGGGCTTAAGTATTGCTGACTAAGAACTTGAAAGTGATTTAATTTTCAGTCAGCTTCATCCCAAATAAAACAGTGATCCTATGACTGGTAAGAAGGGATATCAATCCTGATATAAAGCAGTCCTTTAAACAGTCTTAGGTAACAGTGAAGGAACGTGAACAAGGCTTCAGCTATGAGTCTCCTCTCTCTTGCGTTCTCCCTCCAGTGCACTGTGACGTGTGGCCAGGGCCTCAGGTACAGAGTGGTCCTCTGCATTGATCATCGAGGAATGCACACAGGAGGCTGTAGCCCGAAAACCAAGCCCCACATAAAAGAGGAATGCATCATACCCACCCCCTGCTATAAACCCAAAGGTAACAACAGGTCCTGCTGCCTGTCTTCTCATTGTTATATGTATTCAGGTGCTGTTTTAAACTCCCTGGAACATTTTTAAGTATCCCAATTGTTCTCAATAACCATTCTTTAGAACTAAGATCTACTAAATGGACTTAATTTCTTTTTCAAATCTCATAACTAGATGTGCTTGCAAATTGTTATTAAGCACATATAGACTTATATGTAGGTGATAAAGCTGAAGGCTGTAGCTGACAAGTTTTATATGTATATGTTTGAAAGAAGAGATCATAGAAATATATGATTTACTGTCCAGATTTCTTGCTGTTGAAATCACTGCACTCAGTCCACATGTCTACTTTGCTAAGTGTGAAATACATTAGGGAGACTTATACTTCAAATTGATGAAACAGAAAGCTGCCTTTTTTTATGTTGAAAGTTAAAACATTAATAAAAAATGGGGTCCAAAACCATGATTTGAGATTTAAAAAATTGGAATGAATCAGAATTTAAGATACTACAAATAATTTATAAAAAGTGAATTTTTGAAAAGTGCTAAGTGAGCAAGTTTATTATAATTCCACTGTGCCTTTGAGTTAGTTGTGAAATGATGCACATATAGGTACAGTTTTGCTGTGTTTAAATACTTACCTGACTTCTGTACTAACGTTGTTATGAAATATAAAATTCCAAAGACACATACCATTCAGAAATGGAGGTCTCCTTATTATAAGCTTCCTCCTATTTTCAACATTAAATGATTCCCATTTGTCTCTTATTTATTTAAACCATTAAATTTCTCTGAAAATCAACCACAATGTAGCTCTTTATTTTACTCTAGGCTACCCTTGCTAGGAGTGAAAGCATTATGAAATTGAAATTAATGATTAAAATAAAAACAAAAACATACCAGAGACAGTGATTAATTTTAAAAAACACTCCTCTCTCTAAGCCTGCACCTCCTCCTCTATAAAATGGTAATGATAATAACACCATCTAAGACAGCAAGTGAGGATTTGATGACAATGCAAACAGGGCGCTTAGCCTCCAGCCTGGCATGTAGTCAGTTTTGCACAAATGTCATTTTCAACTCTTAATTCTCATTAGCATCCCCAAATATGGCAGGAAGTGGCTACTGGTGTATATAAATACAAGTAGTCAAGTATTGCAAGTCTGCTGTTAGTGCCAAGCTGAATATGTCATTATTATGTCAATAATGAATGTCATCATTAAAGAGATGACTTGCACTGTCAAAGATGGCGTCCTCGACTGAGTTGTTTAGTTGGCTGGAAAATGATGGCTGGCTGTCTAGATAACTTTGTTGCCGTGTTTACCATGTTAACAAGTCTTTTTGACTCTGGCAGTTTTATATGTCTCACTCACTTTGTTTTCTAATTATAAGTCATTGCAGCACATAGAGGATGAGACATAGTGCTCCTAACTTAAAATAGTCAATTATTTATTACCTCTGTCTTTACTAAGCCACTTCAGAGAAAGAAAAGCAGTGTGTGGTTAACAATCAAGAATCAAATCTGGATTTTCATAACTAAGTAGTGAGTCTGGCTCTCTAAACATCATTAAAATGCCATATAATTTTGTGCTGTTTGCATATATGGAGATATTTCTTTCATCTTTACAATTATATGTTATGAAATGGTGATTGAGCTTCACTGGCTCACACTATAAAGGCAAATGTGTCTATAAATGACCCTAATAAATATGTCAGAATCGGAATCATGGCAGTTACTTCTATAGGAGCAGTTATAACCTCCCTCTTTTTTCTTTTAGTCAGTTTTTCCAGGAAGTACTTCGAAGCTTGTTCTAAATTGTTTCACCAAAGCTAGATAAATAGGTGAAACATATCAAATTATGGGTTGTGGACTCTAAGTTGATTATATTCCAATTGTCAGTGAGCCTTGGGGTGGGATGGGGTGAGTCGATATCTAAAGAAAAGTTTTGTGAATTTCAGAGTGGCAGAATTTGGTTTGGTTTTGACAGTATGGCATGGAGAACATTTAGCCAAAAGGCAGAAGCAAAACAAGTTAGAATTATGAAATTGTCATCATATAACTTATATTATGTTCTGGGTTTTTTTTAAAGCAAATATTTCTCTGTCTTTTCAACAGAAAATAGGGAAAAGATAACTTTGATAATACATATTGGGCTAGTGCTCCCAGGGTTATGACCTTCATAATAAAGACTTCCCTTCGCTCTTGATGACAAAGGGAAGCATAGATAAGAGACTAATATTATTAAACATTCTGAAGTTTGATATTTTGGGGGGATATAATTATCAACAGGGGCAGAAACTTACTATTTGCCATTATCAACATAGTAAATTCTGGGTAGTACAAAATGAAGAACTGGTGAGGACAAAAGGGAATTTCCCTGAAACTTTAATTGGTTCTAACCTTTCCTTTTTTATGTGCATACACTTAATTCTCAGAGAAACTTCCAGTGGAAGCCAAGCTGCCATGGTTCAAACAAGCTCAAGAGCTTGAAGAGGGAGCTGCTGTTTCAGAAGAACCCTCGTAAGTTTTAAAACCATAGTTGTTTTGGTTTGAAGGTGATTGGTTTAAATGAGTACTGTCTCCCTGGTTGTAATCTTCCTGAATTTTGAACTAAGTATAATCATCTTACCAGGGGCAAAGTAAGGTTTTGGGGCTGTGAAATAGGAAATTTATCAAAGTGTTTCTTAAATTTCTGATTGTTCTCTAAATACTTTTCAGTATTTAAAGTAATAAATTAAGGTATAGCACCCACCCTCTTCTCCAAAATCTGACCTCCTTTCTCTTGCAAAGAGGTCAAAGGTGAGAAGGCCTGGGTTCATCTGATGATATAAGATAGATTTGATAAGCAATTCTGGGGACCTTTCCACTTTTCACATTGCCTTAACCATTGAGCCAGAACTGCCAACCCACTGAGCAGCTTTTCACATTCCTTATCTTTCAGATTTCTAAAATTGTCACTCACAAAAATTAAAATACTTATGAAGCAGTTTATTAGCTTTTCTTCCTTTATTGGCTGGTTTTGATTATCAGTAGGATGCCAGGTTTCTGCCTTACTTGATTATGGGCCCAATACCTGCTCAGTGTTACCATTTTTTATTGATAAAACAATGCAATTTATAAGACCATCAGGCAGAAATTTTCTCGATGCTTCAGCAGAGAAAACAAGGAAGACAAAACAAGAGTAGATTGACAGCTATATATTGATTTCACTACAAAAACAGCAGATATACCTATTGAAGTGTTTTTACAGATAGGGAAGACATTTTATTGATGAATTTCATCTATCACCAAAGGAAGTCCTCAGATATTTTTTTCCAGATTAAGTCATTTAATACAAGATAGATTCCGTGCTATATTTTGGTACATAAGACATGTTTACCCACCCCCCAGGAGCTCACAGTATAGCATGTAGGATATGAAATGGTTTCCAAATTCAACCTATGGTTTGAAAATGACTAGAGATATAAATTTACACTGTCATGTGCATGTTCAAAAGCAATTGAGAATTTTCCCATATTCATCTTGTTTGAATCTAAATCTGACATGGTTTGCCAGGACACAAATTGTGTTGCTGAATCACACCCCACACAGCAAATGATTGAAGAAGCAACCCAAAATGAAGATTGCTATGATGACCAAAGTTCATCTGTAAAGGAATGAAATCCAGTCACGTGGTTGACTGGATACCATTCACAAAATGGTGTACCTTCCATAATACAAACTCACCAAAAAATATATGTACATTAGGTAATGCTTTTCTTATTTAAAAGGATAAGACAACAAGTGTGTCTGTACCATAAAGTTACTCTAGCACCTTTTTCTATTTCTTTAAGAAAAAGCAACTAATCATTGCAGAACTTTGAAGGAAAGGCAGTGGTTAAAGATCACAAAGCAACCTTTGCATGAATATATGAAGACTTAAAACATTTTCTCTCTCTCCTGCCAGTACCTGGCTTGCAGAGCTTCTTGCTGCTAGAGAGGAAGTAAGCAGTTCATTTAGAGGGGTATAAACTCTCTAATCCACTAAGGTCCTATTTCTGTGTCTGTATTAAGAAACAGAACATTGCCATGTAATTAGAGCTAGTTATTCCCTGTATGTATTCTTAGGTTTAGTATGTTTAAAACCACATATGTAGTTTAACTAAATAAACACTCTACTCCCTGGTATACTACATTTTGTTATTTTATCTAAATCATAATCTTATACATTATATTGCATTATGACTGATGAAATTAAATCAGAATATCTTACATCAATAATTAAACATCTTTCCTATTATTAGATACTTCTCAAATGAAAGCTGTTAGTAGAGTTTAATGCTTTATGCAGGAGCATTACAGAGACTTGGTCAACCATATTTTGTAATGAGTGCTTTCCACTAAAGGTCTGATTAGCATGCATTATGCTTAACTTTTAATCTTAATAAAATCCCTAAAGTAGTTAAACACATAGTTTAGCCATTGAAACTATAGCCATATATAATAGATTATTAAATTTTACTCTCAGTGTAATAGAATTGCCATGTTGGCATGATTAATCTGAATTGAAGTAGATTGTAATTGGAGTGCTGGTGCCAGGTAAAGGAAATGTATACTATTCTGCTCAGAACAATAATTACTTTTATACCAAAGTGAAATAAATGACAGCTGTAGAGTAATGTAATGAAACGTATATGGTTTCCACATTTTAATATACTTTTCGTGTTTAGTGCACTGAACCTAGGGAAAGTGCTACGTGTCACATTATTTTTTCTACTGAATTTGAATTTAAAAAATACAATTTTGCATGGTCTTAATTCATTCTTTTTAAAAACCACATAGACTGGTTCTAAATGTATGTAGCAACCTATAATTACTCTCCGTAGCCTAATGAAAAGATGATGTACTGTCAGCAAGTTGCTCCTTCTCCCGACCAAAGAGACTCACATTGCTTAAATTAAATGGTCATGTTTAGAAGCTGTGGCTGTCACTTCTAAACTGCTGCAGAGAAGTAGAACAGTGGTCCAGAACTATTATCACTGACTTTGGCTCCAGCTAACATGGAGAGTTGTAGAGTAAAAGTGAAAATATCATTTATTTCTCCTTATATAAAATGAAAATATTATCACCAGCCTGTCTCATTAAATAATATAAGAAAATAATTGCCTTAAACCCTTTCACATATGAAGCACATGAAGATAGTCTTGTTGAATATTAGGTACTTTTGATAATGCCAAAATGAAAAAAATAGTTGGCTAGCACTCTGGAATTATAGAGGGATGCAGATTTATTCAAATAATAAGATTCTTAAGAGGTACATTCTTCTAAGTAAGAGCAGTGGCACTCTAACACTTGAAAGGTGGGAAAAGGAATATGAGGGGATTTTCTTCTGCTTGCTATTCTGTGTTTCTGAAGTTGCCTTCAGCTGATAAAATTATTGTTAGGTTTAGGACATGTCATTTAGATGCCAGACTGAACTCAGCTTATTGCTTCTCACTGCCAAATATATGGTAATAGCTTTCAGGTATTTTGAAAACCTTCAAAAGTTTACTTTTATTTGGTGAGAGAGCAGAACTACTAAGTACTACTACAGTGGGACAATTGCATGCATTCATCATGTAGAAGTTAGAGAAGTTTCTTATTTCGATATCCCGTCTCCTCTTTTTATACTTTACTTTCAGTCTTTGTTGAGAGGTATACATACACATCATAACCACCTCAAGCCATGTACACATTATGACCACTTTGACAACTTAATTTCTTGAGGAAAAATGATACTATGGTGATCTCTAGGCCTTGCAAAGACAGCTTGTCTACTGTTGCTATACAGGAAGTTATTCAGCTGGCCTTCTTTAAAAGTCTGATCTGACTTGGAATAGGAAGGAAATTGTTCATTTCCTTAACTCCTTCAGGCCACTGACATTCCAACAAATGCCCTAGAAGGTGTAATTTGTTAAGGGCAGCAGGCGTTAAAAAAAAGGTAAGGGCTGGATGCTCCCAGTGTTCTGCCTTTCTCTTTCTGCACTTTCTGCTCTCTGAATCAAGTTATCCCATGGAGGGGGAGGGAGAAACTAATGGGTCACATAGAGAAGCCAGTTTCTTCTCAGATCTGTTTCAGTTGTAAGGAGTTCTTTTTAGATGGCTTAGAATAAGCAATAGGGGATGGGTGATTCCTTTGGGCAACAGAAGGTCAATACAGTCTGTTTAACCAGCCATCCCTCCATCCAACCCTGGCACATACCGGGAGGAGAGCCTTAACTGTATTGTCCTCTTGAAGGTAGGATGGGTGGTCCTTTGTACCTTGATCTTATATTAAAAAAATCTTGAGTTTTTATACCACTTCACATCCATAAGAATAGCCTATAGCAACCAGACTGGGAACAAGTGCTGGTGAGGGTGTGGAGAAAAAGGAACTGTTGTTCACTGGTGATGGAAATGTGTACTGGCCCAGACCCTATGGAAGACAGCGTGGAGGTTTCTCAAAATATTACACATGGAACTACTAGATGATCCAGCAGTTCCACATCTAGGTATCTACCTGAAGATTACAAAAGCACTCTTACAAAGGGATGTGCACTCCTATGTTCACTGCAACACTATTTACAATAGTCAATTATGGAAACAGCCTAAGTGCCTAATAACAGATGAATTGATTAAGATTGATGTACATAGAATGCCAGACAGCAAGGGAAAAAAAGGAAATTTTTTGTCATTTGTGACAATATGGATAGAATGGGAGGGCATCATGCTAAGCAAAATGAGTCAGAAGAAGGAAGGCAAATACTGGATGGTTTCATTAATATGTGGAATATAAAGAAACAAAGGGGCAGACAACACTAAACCAAAGTGATTTTAGAAATGACTGTGAAGTTGAGACTACAGAAGGGGAGGATGGGGTGGAAAGGGAGCCCAGTGGACTATGGTGAATAACCCTGGGTGCCATGGTGGTGGGTGTGGTGTTGTAACAAGAGCTGAAGAAGTGTGACCCTCTACCTCTAAATCATACAGTATTGTAAGCCAATGGCACCTCCATAAAAAATAATACAGTTTTTGAAAATGTATCTTACTGGATTTTCAGGTCATAGACTTACTACATAGTTAGGAAAATATTTTTTGCTTCAACGAAAAACTCAGGCCTTAAATTTATTGCCATAAATAACCTTGGTGTGAGTCATTTAAAAAAAGGAAGAAGAAAGAGGAAAACAGGCAGGCAGAAGGCAGCAGTAGTATCTGGATGCCAGATGGCATCAGCTTAGTGATGGGGCTGATTCAGTAAGAAGCAAAGGGAAATTCCTGTCATGCATCTGTGTGAACAGAACCCACAAGGAATTAGATACAGAAAGACAGACCAGTGAGAGTCACCATGGTGATCCTGTAGTCATTAACTGTCTTGTTTACCTTGTTCAAAATAGTATTTAAATATGTAATATCTAAGCATAAGTTTACATTATTCCATATCCAACAAGTTGTCTGAGAATGTAGATGGCTAAACTTAGTGGGTAAGAATGTAAATTCATTTTTTTAAAATGAAATGTTAATGG